ATATCAGAATTCTACCACACGAAAAGGGGTGGTGGATCCAACTAAAAAACACCGGGGCGGGTCCAACTGAGCGGGGCGGGTCCAACTAAAGAGTAGTGGATCCAAGTCAATGCAGAATGGGGGTTCCAGATTTTGGATCCCCCCCGGGGTCTGGGACGTTCCTCCATGATCTCACATCTCGACTTGAGGAGGGTTTAAGGTTGGGGCAGAAGGTTTTCTAGCTTTTTGTTTCACATGAGCTTTTCTCCAGCGAACAAGCTTCTCTAGAGATGCTACTAGAGCACAGTCCGCGCCTACTTACGCAACCAGTGGGAAAGAGTTTGCTGACCCTCATCCCCATTCGCCCCTTTCAGCGCAGCTCGATCTCCACTTCCATGAGGCGCTGCATCAGGCGCATTACCAGGGTGAGTTGTGTTCTCACGCGTCCGCAAAGCCACACAGAACCCCATCGTGCTCGATCTCTAAAGCTGCTCCTTGTCCCAGTCGTCCACATCGGAGGGATGGCACAAATGCCGGCCAAGATGTTGAGGCTGCAAGGAGTCTGGGTACTCGGGAGGAGGAGGCGGATGTCGTAGACCTTGACCTCCTGCTGACCCGGACTTCTTGGCGCGCGGAGCGCCTGTGGCGTTGCCCCGCTCAGGCTGAGAAGCGCCCCTGCCAAAGTTGCCGAAGAAGACTCCTTGGGGGTAGCCGGAACCACTTTCCCTTTGGCACGGCCACCCATCTCGAACCGCAGATGTCGCAGATCTTGATCTTCATGCCGTCGCCAGCGCCGTAAGCTCGAACTCCATTGGTCCGGAGTCTTCACATACTTCTTGCTCTGGACCTGAGCCGCAATCACTGCCATGGATCAGCATCGAACTTGCCGCGCCAGGAAGGGCGAACAGGTTCAGCACCTTGTCCTTCAATGGGCTCTCCAGGGCGTGTAGTAATAGTACAGGACCATCCGGCTGACCGTGTCCACAAACGCGAACCGGTTTGACCAACCATGGAAGCAGGAGATGGCATGGGGAACAGGGTTAGCTGTTGCACTGATGGTTGCAACGCGATAGCAAAGGGCTTGCCCGAAATCAGCATCCAGCACGAACTCACCGAACCCACTTCTGCACAGTGTTGGAAGGACAGTCCTCCAGCCAATGCCCCGGAGAGCCACGTCCTAATCCTCGCAGTCTACTCTGCTTGAGCGTGGCGTTGCTGTCCATGCTGCCCTTTCCTTTCCCTGACTTGCCCTTTGACAAGCCGCCCTTGGAAGTTCCCATGGAAAACTGTCCTTTGCGAACATTTCCTTTGCCCTTCGCCTTGCCCTCCCTGCGCTTGCCCTTGTCCGCGTTACACAAGGCTCTTGCCTGAGCCAAGCCAGCCAATTTTTTGGACGTGACCGTCAGCGCCTGGGCCGCAGCAAGAAGGGTACTCGAGAGCTGAGGGTCCCAGTCTTCAGAATCTTCGCCTTGGTCGGCGCCAGCATGTGGGTCGTCGTTATTCTCGCCGGCTTTATCGTGGTCGTAGCCGTCGGCGTCCTGGTCCGTCTCATGGTACGGAGCCTCCTCATCGTCGTCGTCCGGTTCCTCCTCATGAATGTTCTCGAAGCCCGCGCCGTCTGTCTCGTCGCACTCGTCATTGTCGCGCCAGTCGGCGTTCCGAGACCATCGCCAACTCGTCTTGGAAGACCGTGTAGATCAAGATGACAAGCTTGATCTTGAGGAGGGAGCCGTCGATGAAGTGGATCTCTTCCGACTTCCGAAGGTCAGGTCGCCCTTGAGGAAGACCAGTACTGGACATTCCGGCTGGGCTGATAGCGTCTAGCAGTAGACTTCTCATCCAAACGCAGACCATCCAGCAGCTTGATGACTCTGGCCTGCTCGGGATAGGCCGGAGCCTCGTCTCGCAAAGCTTTCGCTCAAGCAAACGGAACCTGCGAACAAAAGCAGTTACGCTCTCTCACCTTGAAGACGAGTGATGTTCTCGAACTCATGGATCGCGCCACCCTGACTGAACAGCTCCTTCTCGCCGAAGCTGGTCTCCAGGTCCTTCAGGAGTATCTCGATCCCATTTTCGCAGTTGTAGCGGTCGTCGCTCACCTTTTCCAGCTGCATCTCGGCATCTCCGCGGCAGATATTCCTTCGTAATGGCCACCCAGCGCTGCAGCCGTCTCCTATAGTGTCTTAAACAGCACGGGTCCGAGTCCACATCGCCGTTAAAGCCCACTTCTTTTCCTGCACGGCCTTGTTGCCGCCACTGAACGACCACCTCTGCTGCCCCTCTTACGCCTGCTGGTACTAGAGGAGCCGACTGAGCCCGCCCGCGGGGGTGTCTCCAACGCCTGCTGCTTCAGCCCCAGCGCCTGCCTCGTCTGACGAAGGGCTCGAGGCACCGCCCGCCTGACAGGTGGTCTCCGAACAACTCGTCATCGAAGTGCATCGCTTGCCGGGTGCTAGGTGGCACAACCGGGGTCGCTACCAATGATATCGCAGCCTACTACAGCAGAGCCTGCATCTATGCCATGAAAGTCCTGGGCAAGCGCGCGCCGCATCTTTTGGCTTCTAAGTGCTATCCCATTCCCATGAGATGCAATGACACGGAAACGTCTGTGCAAGGCGAACATGGCTGGACTGTCTGCACAAGCAAACGAGTTGACTTTATCAGGAGTGTGCTTTGCAAGCTAACTGAACGGGTGTCAGCTAGTAACGGGGCCAGCGCTGGTACCCCTCGCTTTTGAGCTTGAGCCAAGTAGGAAATGCTGCGTCCAACAGTATGTGACAGCTGCGAAGCGCATTGCGAACGTTTCACGGATCTAGATGAGGGTTTCCTGGCCAACTCATGAGCCCCAGACCACCTTTTACTGGGCAACCCGGCTTCTTGTTGAGTGCCCTGACCCAGACATGGGTCTCTGCAAAGGCTGACTCCACATAGTGCGGCACCTCAGAAAAGATCCGAAAATCTCACAAACCAAAATCTCCGAGGTCGCCCGGGAGTAGGCCTGCCTGGTCCAGGACGGCCATGTCCCCCAGCGTGGTACCTGCCTCGACAATCTCATGCTCCTTGCGCCCCAGCACCTGTCAATGATTGTCAATGCTTTCGTCTGTCACTCATAATCATTGGCCGCTTTTCGACAGGCCTCTAGCCGCACGCGGCCAGACCGAATGAAGTACATAAAATTGCCCTGCACAAAGTCTGAAAGCCAAAATTTCCGAGTTGTTGCTTTTGGTCCTCTTCATACTGGAGGTAGAGCTTCTCGCCCGGCCAGAAGGCTAGATCCTGCTCATGACAGTGCTCATGGACACCAGGAAACTGCACAGCCTTGCTGTAGCGGCAGCGACCTCGACGATCTCCGCGACCTGCGAGACGAAACTGCGGGAGCAGGCGCGAAACACCTGGCAGAGATGGAATGAATAAGCGCTCATGACGTTTCGAAGCGGACGCTTCTCCCACGCCTCACTCTGCTCCACGCAGTCGGGCACGTTCTTTGCACCTCATGCGGGCTCGCAAGCTCACAAAAATCATTGTGCCATGGTTTTTGCTGGACAAGCGGGCTTCCATCGCCCACAGGAAAGCCAAAAGCATCCAGGATCTCACCGCCAGACAGCACTCGTACCGCCGCTGTGTACCTCCACTTGTGCAATGCAAACGCTGGGACCGGTCGGATGAAGCTGGCTCGCTTGTCCCTTGGGGCATGACGGGAGCATGTCATCTTCCATCAGCTCGTCGTCCAACACTTTCTGGATGGTTGACTGCCTCGGGGGACGTTGCGAGGGTGACTTTGGCCCGAAGTCCACATGCACCCCCTTGGTGCCAGGACTGCAGAAGCAGACAGTCGCAGGCCTGCGTGGACCGGACAGTGACCTGAGGTTTGCAATTTGCTGCCTTTTTTAAAGCCAACTCACGGAGCTTTTGAAGCTATCGGGCACAGGCATTTGGAGCAGGACACTCAAGGCCCATGAAATGATGCAGCCCAATGTAGCCGCCTGCAAGTTTAATGTAAGTCACAAATTCAGCCTTGCCCCTGCTTGCAAAGCACAGCCTGCTCCGATTCTTCGAACTTCAATGCCCATGATGGCCACTTGTAACTGGCATGCGGCGGTAGGGAGAGGAAAGGGAGTGGAGGGTAGCTGTAGGAATGCAAAGTCGGAGAGCACAAAGGCTGTTGCAGGGAGACAGACAGGAGAGACAGGAGATCATGAAAATTTTGAAGACCGCCTCCCCACGAACCACAAAGAGCAGGGCGTTTTCCTCCACGGTCTCACCCGGAGAGAAGAGCAAAGAACCTTCGAAGTTTGTCTGATTGAATAATATGGTTCATATAATTGAAGAATTCGAGACAATGGCAGGGCCGGTAGTACACAGGCTTCGCTTCCTCAATGATGTCTGACAGTAGGGATGCCTGAACAAGGCTGCGCTGTTGCATGCTCCCTCAAACGGCGCCGACGGTGCCGACGGTGCCGAGGTCCACGCAGGGAGCTTTGCGAAGAGTGGCAAAGCTGGCACAGTCTCTAATTTCTCCCACCAAATGGCTTACCTGCCTAAGCTGCCTGAGGGTTCTGGGCAATCGGTTTGCTTTCTCCAGGTCTCGTTCGCGATGACCACCTGAGGCAGTTCTTTACCGCCTTTCCCTTACTTTGCAGCCCGTGCTGTGCACCCGCGCACTGCCTTACGGGTCTCCGGATAGGCCACCATGGCGTTCTGCATGGCATGCCTGTAGAGAACCAAGACCAGAACATTGGTGACCTCAGATGTCAAGTTGGAGAGCCGGCTTTGGATGACGTCTTCGGCTCGCACTGCCACTGCATCGTGCCCGAAGATGGGCGTGTTGCCGAGGATGTTGTCCTGGTAGCACCACTCCCCACCTCAGATGAAACGGTGAAACTTTTGGATGATACTGCTTCCACGAAAGGTTGAGCTCAGGCTTGGGGCGGCGGAGCTCCACGAAGAACAAAGTCTGAGGTTGCTCGCACCTGACACTGCTGTCCCATGAAGGCTCTGAAAATGAGCAGCGATCTGATGGGGAAACGGCCGGACAGTGCCCGCAAGCACCACCATCATTGCTGCGGAGTCATCTCCAGCAAAGGCCACCATGTCGCCAGCACAAAAAAGCCGGATGTCCGCATCCTGGCATGTCACTTGTTTTGAAAATGCTGTTGAGCGCAACGAGTCGGATCGCATATATGATATCAAATATATATATATTGCTCTATATTGTATATATATATACACACGTATCTATTTGAGCTTAACAAGGAGGTGAGTCAGGGATGATCCTTGTGTAGGCGGGCAAGGAAAGGCTGGTAGGCACAGCTGCCGTACGCTGGAATATTTTTCAGGATTCGCCAATCCGCCTGACAAGGAGCGAAATCAGAGAAACTTTTCGAAGCCCTGCATGCTCTGCCACTGCCTCTTTGCCTTCCTCCAGGGATTGCTCCAAGGCCCTCAGCCGTGTCTTCGGCAAAGGGTGGCCTACAAGTCAGAGATTTTTCCTCTCAGGAACCCACCCAGTCTCACCGTCAGAACCAATTGAACAAACAGGCAAGGCCCGGGCCATCAAGCATGTCCATGAGCTTGGCCCGTGTGAGAACCTGCCAAAAGGTTCTCCCCAAATTGCTCGGCACCTACAATGACCGCAAGGACCGTCCTTTACACTAATGGATTCATGGACGACGCCAACCAAATGTGAATACCGTTAAGCATTGAGAATGCTGAAGGGTGAGGACTAGTTAGGCCCGGCCCGCTGTTGCCTTGCACGAAGAGTTCGAAGCAAAAACATGCATAGCTTAGAAGTTGCAGCAGGGATTTTTCCTCTGCGCAAGGCTGTTTGTCTCAGCCCGTCAGCACCGACCAAAATTATCAAGCTAGGTTTTCTATTATGTGGAATTGTGCTTTGACGGCTTATGGGACGTTGTTGGGCATTAGATTTCACCTTTCGATAAAGGAGCGCATTGTCCATCCATACCACGCTTTGGGTAGCATGCACCGAGAGCACTTCCTGAGTATTGGGAATCCGGAAGTTCTCGTTGTGGATATCTGCATGGTAGGGAGCGGAATCTGAGGCCAAATAATCTATACGATTTGAGGCCTCAGTCATACAGGATTCCGTCCAGTGGAGACGAGGCCTGCCTACCCTGTTCGGACCTTGAATGAAGCGGTGGCGCCCGATGGCATAAAGGCCGCGTTGTACTCTAGCGAGTCTGAATGTTTAAGTATGTGACCTAGCAGGCGAAGCCTATCATGGGAGTAAATTTGAGAAGGAGATATGATACGGCGGGAGGAAAATGCAAGACCAGCCAAATATTCGTTTGAGCAATCAATGTCCGAAGGATTAAGGACTCGATGATAATACGAGGATTTGATCTTGAAAATACGCCGTAGTGACTTGAAATGGACAGCATTAAGTCTGGTAAGCTGTGAGGGAGATAAAAATGCACTATCCATGGCGTACATAAGTATAGACAGGACTATAGATCTATATACCGTAAGTTTCCAGGAGGGAGGCAAGGAGCTATGTGATAGAAGGGGCTTAAGTAACTTAGAGGAGTGTATGGCTTGGGTAATTCTGAATGACACATTTTTACGGGCTGAACCCGATGTATCAAGAAATACTCCTAAGTATTTCACTTCTTGAGATAACGGAACAGGGTCTCCGGTCCGTACATCGCCGGTACACATAACACAAGAGCAACTCATGCGGAGCGAGGAAGGTGCATAATAAACCCTTTGATCTGAATGAAGTTGCAAGTGTTGGCATTTTTCCTCATTGAGTAAAAGTCCTCTGATAGAGCCCTGAAACTGTATGAGATGTAGAATACGAGTCAGTTGATCCCCCGAGTTGGATAATAAAACCGTATCATCCGCGTACTCTAGATCCCAAATGGGAGAAGGAGTATGTATTACACCAGAAAGGAGCCATATTGTTGCTCGTATTGTGTTTCCACGTCATCAAATAAATGGGTGAGAACCATACTAAACAAGTAAGGGGAGAGGGGACACCCCTGGCGGAGACCCTTAGAGAAGGTGTGTTGCTACCACTCAGAGCAGATTGTCGGCAGGAAGCGTGCCCGACATGCGGTCTCTACTTTATGGACCTGAGTGCCATGCGCAAGCATCGTGCCAAGAAACATGGTATATTTTTGGTTAATCCAGAAGTCAGAAGCTCCACTGCCAGAGCAGCCATAGACCTGACCCCCCACATGGTAGATGGAATGCCTCGCTGCCCTCCCTGCGCTAAGGTTTTCCCTAGGTTACAGGGTCTAAAAGAGCATATCATGGCACACTGTCCAATGCTGCATGGCAGCGGCGCGCAAGCTCCCACAGAGGTGGGGGACAAAGCAACTTTGCAGTCAGAGGGGGCTCCGCTTGGGCATACGTGCCGGGAGCCCCTGCGCGTGCCTGTAGTTAGACGGAAGGCTGTGCAGCAAAGGCTACAGCAAGGGTGCTGGAGAGGCCTATTGCATGATCAAGACCTGCTAAAGGAACTGAAATCCTTTTGTGTCGTCTGCGCCCTCAAAACACACATTCGCTGAAGCCATCCTCACGCATGGGCACACAAACATGATGCTGCTGCGCGATGTGCTCAAGCAGGTTTTATCAGGGGATCTCCTTGCCACTACTGTAAGCAGAGCGTGAAGCACACGGGCTCTCACCTCAAAAGCTGTGTTGTTCTCTTTCAAGCATCACTTGCTGCCCTGCTGATCATGGAGACGCCTGCAACAGTGGCTCAAAGGGAGATGCAGGAAGTGCTCGGAGCCGCGACGAAGGAGCACAATGCGCCGCAGACAGCGACGGACTATGCGGAGCAGGAGGGAAGGCCAGCCAAGTATCATCATGGAGCAGGGAAGGGAAATCCCCAGCAGACGTGGGGCAAACAAAGCTCCAGTTCCGTCCAATGGAAAAATTGGTCGAACCCAAGCAAAGCTGGGGACGCAAGCAAGGGCAACCGGACCAGGAGGAGGACAAAGTGGAGGAGTTGTCCACAATGGTTCGGCTCTTGGCCAAGATCGTGCTCCGGCGCAAGGACGAGCACTCCCGCTTGAGGGTGGAGTCCGGCTTCCTGGTCTACTGCGATACTGGCGAGCACGGAGTGACCTCAACGCTCTTTCGAATGGCCCAGACCTGGAAAGCCAAAAGGGAAGCAGGCGCGGTCACAACCTCTTTGAGAGTGACCCTCTTCCTGGCCATCCTGCAGATTCTTCAGGACAAGCTTCAGGCTCTGATTGCGGAACGAAGATCAGTTGCAGGCTGCGGCGAAGCACGAATGGCTGGAGCTAAAAGAGCAGCCACTGAATCCTCTCTGGAACTTTCACACCTGGAGTGCGGAGGAGCAGAAGAGCGTGCGCTCTCAAAGGGAGGGTCTGACCCACGAGCAGATCATGAACATCCTGGCCACACTGCGTCGGACGATACCAGAGAACGCAGTTCTCACCGGCTTTCATGCGACGAGACCTCTAACAGAGAAGTTGGAGGGACCGGTGCTGCCATTCCTCATGAGCGTGGGGATGAGATCGGAGCATGCCGATCAAGCCTACCATGCAATGTCTACGCCGGTAGACAGCGCTGCTGCTCTCAAAGTGGTTGGGATCAGATGGCGCCAGGAGCGATTAGATCGCCAGCCTCTGGTAAAGGCGTTGGAGAACTTACCGCGAGTCTTCGCTATGCGACTGGAACCAGAGCGGCAGCGGCAGCTACAGCAAGCCGGGCCAAGATTCCAGCATGAAGGCGCGCAGCCAGCATTGACCTGCGACCTTGATAGAGTTCGTAAGCCAGAGTATAGACTGCGCAATCCCCATAATGTCTGCTATTTAAACTCATCTGTGATTGCCTTAGCTTGGGCAGGAGTAGTCACTGACAAGCCAGCTGCGTATGGGGCGCTTGGCGCTGCACTCTTAGCAGTGAACTCAGCCAGGGGAGTATATGTGCCACGCTCTCTTAGCTGGATGTCAGTTTTGCAGCACTGGCCAAACTTGCATCGACAGCAGGATGCGGGAGAGTTTTTGACCTTCCTCCTTGGCCGCGCCAACCCCCCGCCATATGCAGGTTTCTGGCAGGCACGTAGGACAGAGCATGGCCAAACTCAGGTCTTGGATGGCGGCACGCTGAGTGCGCCCCTTGCAATGCCACTGCATGGCCAGGCGCTGCAAGACTGCATAGATGCGTGGGAAAGCCAGCCTTCCATTCATGCAGCCGTCGCTTCAGGTGGGCTGATCATTATCCAGCTGATGAGGTACCAAGCTGCAGGGTGCAGCAAAGGATGAACGCAGCATCCCCACGCAAGCTGGCCAGGTGATTGGCTTCCTTGCTTCCGATCAGGGGCATCGGACTCATATGGTAGGCCGCAAGGTTCTCTTTGCCATCTGTCACCTGGGCAACTCTTTGCGCTCAGGCCACTACATCACGGCTCTGAGCGTTCCTGGCAACTTGCTTGGAAGATCCGCTGAGTGGAAGTGGATGATATGCGATGACAGCAGAGAGCCCCAACCTGCCAGCGCAAGGGACCTAGAGACCATTGCTCATAATGCGTGTGTCATTGGACTGGTTAGATCATACCAGCCACTTTTGCAGAATTGATAGGCGCACAGTGCCCCTTTCTGCTGTGCCTCGGCACGGGATGGGGGTTTTTCTGACTCCGAAGCGAGCGCCTACTCCTCCTTGGTTTTGTTTTGTTTAGTGTTTGGTTTAGACCCCTCCCTCCTCTTCGGTTAGTATGGTTTGTATGGTTAGTTGGTGGTCTGCGTGCCTTTTGAAATTGCCGAAGCAACTTCCGCTCTAAGAGATTTCTGGATGCCAGCACGTCTTGACGACATGGGCACAAAGCGTGGTTTCTGGATGTTTTCATTTCTTGCTTGATTGGCTGCTTTGCTTGGGACTTGCAGATCCATGCGCATCACCTTGCTCAGTTAAAACCGCCAACCTTGCAGGTTTCAGCAAAAGCATGAGCAGACATGGGATAGCATGTGTGACCACTGTTTAATTTTGTCCACTTTTGCAATTGCCGCATGCTTGGAGTCACTTTTCACTTGAGATGCAGCATTGTTTTCGCACGCATGTTATCTGCCTGTTTGCGTTGAAGGAATTTCGCGTTGCTGCGAGACTTCGGCATGGGCTCTGACAGCAGCAGCTACGCCTCCTCCACCATCCCCTCTTCCATTGGAGATGTGGAGATTGTAGCTGCCCCAGCCTTGCCTGACGAAGAAGCGATGCAGCGTCTTTCCATGTTCTCTGCGTGGAGGTTTGCTTGGCTTTTTGGATGCGTACCAGAGCAGATCAGCATGTGCGCAGAGTTGGTAGAGAAGCGGCGCAGTACAGAAGGAGATTTTCCAGAATGGAGCTGTCCGAAATCTTGACGTCCAGATCGTTCATGGGTTCTTGCAACCTTTTTACTGGTTTTCAATCAGACGGCGGAGCGTTTTCAGCTGAACAGATTCTCAGCGGGTAAGGCAGGTGACTGTGCGCACATCCTGTTGGAGGATCAGCTGTATGTTCGCCTTACTGTTTTCGCAGTAAAACTATTGGACATGTCTGGGCGCAAAGTTTTCCTTGAGATGTTTGCTGCAAAGCTCAATGCACAACGTGTTTCAGCACTTAT